TTTTTGTAAGTTTTTTTTTTTGTAAGGTAGTAACATTTAATTTTGTTTTTATTACACTGTGGGCAGGGGAAAGGGAAACGGGTAGGCTATAGGGGTATTTTGTTATTATTACACTGTGGGCAGGGGAAAGGGAAACGGGTAGGCTGTAGGGGGTTACAAGATGGAGAATCGGACTCTCACCAATAAGGTGAAAGTACAAACAAACTAGGCTGCTAAGATTCTCCTTTGGCCTTATAGTTATTTAGTATGTAAATACTTTTTTCCTGCTCATTTCGAGTACAACAGAATAGATACAGAGGATTTATATAGCTGATTTAATTTGAGATTATTGAATATTAGTTGATTCGTTAATTGACTGAGGTTGGAGTAAAGGTGTTTAACTGGCGGGATGGGACGGGCTGAACAAAAAAAATCAGCCCGTCCGTTAACGGACCGGGTTGGTTAGCGGGATGGGAAAACGGTCTGGTGGCGGGTTGGATATTTTTCGGGTTATTTTTGAGCCCGTTCGGGTTCGGGCGGGGCGGGCTAGTATTTTTTTTTAATTAAATTTTATTTTTCTTATTCAATGTTATTGATACTTAAGTGTTTACAAACTTTTAAGGCTTAGAATTAAACTTTGATGTTTAAACTTTAAAGTTTTAAATTTGAAATTTGAAATTTAAAATGTTAAAATTGAAATTAGAAAGTAAGTGGCTATAAAATATTATTTAATAAGACCAATAGAATATGTAAGGAACAAACTCCGAAGGCTTTCATTTTATATTTTTAATACTTCAAACTAATTTGCAAGTTCTTTTTTTATTTTTTTATTTTTGAACTTCCAAATTAAAAGTTTACAGCAATTATAAAAAATAAGAAATAGTACATCACATGTTTTGCATCATTTTTGTAAGTTCTTCCATGTCAACATGAGGTTCTAGGTTTCCGGCATTGGTTGAATCGGAACCATAAATCATTATATCTTCAATTTCTTGGTCCTCCGCTTCGTCTACCTCGGCACGCCCTTGATTTCGCCGTTCTGATCTTATCCAATCTCTGAAGCACACTAGAATTTCCAAAGCGTTGCTGCCCAATGAATGACAAGTATCTCCTAGCTGCTGCCTTGCTTGGCTAAATGCGCTCTCTGATGCGACTGTTGAAATCGGCACATTTAGCACGTCTCGAGCCATGGCCGAAAGAAAAGGAAATTGATTTGAGTTGCTCTTCCACCAACCCAGCAGTAGAAAATTCTTTGTGAGGGGCTCTGCTGACTTTTGCAAGTAGAATTGGAGTTCATCAATATTCCGGCTATTGGTTTGTTAATGCTCTCCTAGTGTAGACCAAATCAAATAATCTTGAACACTATCATCATCATCCAAAGTTGTTCCAGATGTTGAAATATTACTTGAAGGAACATTTGCATCTACAATCGAAGAAGCATCAACAATGTTAGCATAATAATTATATAAAGTTCGTAAATGTTTGTGTAGATCAGAAATACAAGTACCAATATCAGGAGTTTCAGTTGGTCCAATATACATATAAGTATATAAAGCACTGATCAATTGGGTAGAAATAGGTAAATATGGGAGTTGGGTACAAATATTTTTTAAACTTATCTAGCATAGATTCAACAACTTAAGTATATCCTTCTTTCTTCTTCAAATTATGTAGTAAAAGAGGAATTTCAGCAATATGAACTAAACCGTTTACAATAGTAGGATAATAAGCTCAAGAAAACTCAAGTGCAGCCACATAAAAATTTTCTAAAAATTGTATAACATCTTCAATGACATCCCAAGTTCTAGATGTTAACAAACGGCTAGGATCGGTAAAATAAGAATTAGCAACTTCAATTATAGGCATTCTATATTTATAACAACATCTTAAAAATAAATAAGTATATTCCACCTAGTAACTATTTCTTCGGGCATGAGTCTTGGTTTTAGTCCATAGTGTACACATTTTTCCTTAAATGTATTTAATCTAGCATTTTTATTATTTCCTTGAATTACACCAACAGCTCTCCTAACTAAAGTGATTTCATCTCTAAATAATTGTAGGCCATTCTTCACAATCAAGTTATAAATATGACATGCACATCTAACATGAAATATTTCAGAAAGTGGTGGGTGTAGATGCAATTTTAATATTGTAATAGCAGCATGGTTGTTAGAAGCATTATCAAATGACATACACAAAACTTTTTCTGCAAGATTATAAAATATAGCAACTTCATGGATAGTATTACTTATAAATGCACCAGTATGACTTTGATCTTCATCATATTTAAAAGCAATAATACGTTTTTGCATACAATAATTTTCATCTATCCAATGGCATGTAACAGTCAAATAATCATTTCCATTTACAGCACGACCAATATCAGAAGTAAGAGAAACTCTACAAGAAAGACTGGCGTGGAAAGAATGAAGTAATGAAAGAAGAAGTCATATCATAAACAAATTTTGTACGAGGGAATCGGTGAACAAATAACGTATATATGTTTGATATTGTCCAAAAAGCCTAAAGATATCAGCTCTACAAGTACTTCTAGGAATACCTTCAAACAAAGGGTTATAAATTCTTTGAATATAAGTAACAAAATACGGTGAATAAGCAAAACTAAAAGGTAAACAACCTAAAATAATCATTTTAGCTAACTCTTCCCGATCTTTCTTAATATCGTATTTACCCATTAACCCCCCGGTACTCGGGTTAAGTTTGTGTTGCCCATCTTCCTCATCTACTCCCCCAATCAAGTGGGTGGAGCTCTACCATATGCCTACGAAGTTGACCCGTTCCTCCTCCCTTACCGGGCTCATGTTTATAAAATTCATTATAAATTCTACATTTTACATAATTTTTTTGATCTTCTAGTCTGTCAAAAAAATTTCAACACTTACTTCTTAATCTTCGATTCTTCTTAATAGGGAGGGGAGGCTTACTTGTTCCACCCCTAATATTTTGAGTTTGACTTGCATTACCAGGTGTAGGTGGTGGTGTTTCAAGATTATCGGGTGATTGAATATCATCTATACCATAATTTTCTTGCACATTAAAATTTTCAGGTGAACTTTCAGAAATATGTGTAAAGCTACTAGAAAAACCAACGCCACCTCTTGATCTTTTGGAAGTTTTCTTACTACCACCTCTACTAGTGCACGCTTTCTTGGCTGCTCTAAGTAAATTCATTATGTAAATTAAATTAAGAAATTAAATTATAATTCTAAATAATAAAATAAGTGTACACCAAATAAGAGAAAGAGATGGAATGAGTGTACCGGGATTTCGGATGCCGCACTAATTTTGATATAAAAAATAAACTCCAATTGATCGACCGAAACTTGATAGTACTTGATACCACACTTCACTTGAATACTTGATATTTGATAATAATAATTTTGTAATGGCTAAACTAAATATTTGATGAAACTTAAATAATAAGTAATTGAGAATTTAAGAACAATAATCAATAATATCAAGAGAGAATTGAGAAAGAACTAGAGTAGTAAGAGAGTGAATTGTGAGAAAAAATGAAGAACAATGGAGGTTATTTATTGGTTTTAAAAGGTTGAAATTGTAATTGTTCAATTATTAGGGGTGGGAGGGCTACTTTTTTAATGGGGGAGGCCGAAATGGCCATTTGTGCAAAATCTGGCCATTCCCCAACGGTCATTTCTGAATTTGACTGTTGGCAACGGTCCACAAAATTATAAAAAAAAATAAAAAATTGTAACGAATACCGGGTTGCAGCCCGTTAACTGCTTAGGGGGCTTAGCGGTTTCCGATGCAGCGGTATCCAAAATGTGTTCGTCTAAACCCTTCCAACCCTCCCTCCCCCCCCCCCCCGCCCTAGCCCGCCCCTAAATGCTACAGTAACGTACTGACCCGGGCCGAAGCGGGTTGAAAACGGGTCAGCCCGGCCCGATTAACACGCTTAGGTTGGAGCAATGACTATGTAAATTAGATTCTCAAAGTAGCCCACTTTCAAATGATCCATCACTTAAAGGCTTAAATTTTACTAGTTTTTTTATTTTTTATGATAGTGGTACGCATTCTGATGTACGTGCTATCTCCCACCAACACAGGCACTCGGCAACTCTCATCACCAAAGCTTAGGCATATGGGAAGAAGTAACCTAATGGATTTTGACTCCACTCGCATTTGAACTTGAGACCTCATGATTCTCCTCCTACTTCATTAACCTCATGGTTCTCCTCCTACTTCATTGACCTCCAGGCCATACCCTTAGGTTCTAAATTCTACTTGAATTCTAACTTTTCACATGGAAACTTAAGCTAGATGTTAAATGTGACACAATCCTTCTTCTAAAAGTACATGTAGCTCACGTACTGTTTCTCGTTATTCTTGTTGGTAAGGAAATATTTTGTGATCCATACTTTGGTGAAAGAAGATAAATAAACATGTGTTTCTAACCATATGAATAATAATCTTGAAGTTTTTTTTTTCAACGTCCAATGGAGAAAAGAAAAGGTTGTGCATTCCAACATCAACTGAAATAAAAGTCAGGCTTTTTCTAACCTTTATCATTTGTGAAACCAGCTTCGAAAAGATTATATTCCAGAGGCCCGAAGAATTTTCAAATTTTAGCTCAAGATCAATTCATGCAGTCGTTTTTGAGGTGGATGATCGACAGACAATTGGGGGCTCTTCCTATATCACTACAAAAAACGAGAGTAATTGTAACGGTTAATTTTGCATATAGTGGCGGTTAAAAACCGCCATAATTGTCACTAATAGCGGCTTAACCACCCACCATAATCGCTTCCGCCAAAAGGTTTAATACTGGCTGCTGATTGAGGCGCTTAGGAACCGCCATAATGATGTCTTTCAAATTATAACAGTTTATACTGCCATAATTGTAATATATTATTGTTAATTTTTTAATTCTACATTTAGATGCTTTTTACCGCACAAAAATCCATCATAATATGTAATCAAGCACCCATCATAGTAATTAAAATAAATTATAGAGAATTAGATGAGCAAAATATTCATCATATTAAAACATAGGTACCCCAAAATCCCATATCATCCAAGATTCAAGTTTAAGTTGGTGAGAGTTATTCACCAATTACAACACAAGAAAAACATAGTTCATCCTAACAATTACAACACAAGAAAAACATAGTTCATCCTAACAATGATTACTAACTGTCATTTTCTCCGCTTTTGTCAAAGGATCTTCTTGGCCTAGTTGGTGACGGAACGCCATCTCCTAAATTGGGTGCCTCCATAAAAAAACTAATTAGTAGTGACAAACTCATATCATGCCAGTATTTTGCAAATACAGATAAAAAGTATAACCCCTACAAATATCGAGCAAAAGTAATACAAATTTGCTATTTATGAATCATTATTATGAGAAATTGGCCAGCTGTTCAAAATATTTACTTCTAGCCATCTAAATTTCGGTGTTAAACATTGAAATCCAGGGGAAATATACTGTTTCATTCGGCAAAATAAGGCAAGTAATGCAAACTAATTCACACGCAGATTGAAAATATACTGTTCAATCTGCAGTATATTAGCAGCTTCATTCAGTTGGTACTAATAGTATATGTGATCAAATCCAAAATTTTCAGATTATATAAGCCAGTAACATCCCTTTATATTTTCTGGATAAGGAAGCCTGCAACATTCTATTACAGGTGCATGGTCTATAAAATCCTGAGTCAGCTTGATCCTACATCATCATGTCTTGATATGCTTTATCTTTCTCCAATTGACCAAATATTTCAGTCTAGTTCCATTGTTACCTGGACATACTCATATAGTCATATCTACACCTACACCTATTGCTATAACCTAGTTTATCCAGTAAAATCTATATATAATAAAAGGAGAGGCAAAAGCATAGACAAAATAAACTACCTTTTTAACTAAAAAAAATTTTTAAATTTTGAATTAATTAGTTACTCTTTTTGAATTAATAAATATAAATATATTATAATTAGCTATATTAAAAAACGAAAATATAAAAAAATAACTACCCATTCAAATTGGGGAGTAGTTTCAAGTTGGAGTTTCAAAGTTATTTTAAAATTAAAAAAACATAAAATAAGAAAAAAAAATTAAATTAGCTACAGTAAAAATACAAAAATATTAATTAAAAAAATTACCTATCCAAGTTGGGGAATAGTTTCACTTTGAAGTTCTAAAATTATTTAAAAAAGAGAAATAAAGAAATAAAAATTGCCAATTTAAATTGGGGAGTAGTTATATATATATATATATATATATATATAT